TCCCTATTCCATTCGTCGGTCCTCGGGTAGGAAAGGAAAAATCCCTGGAGAATCCGCGTTCCACCGATCGAGTCCCGGAAATCTTTTACCTTCGATAATTCCGATTCCGCGAAATCGAGAACGCGATGATTCCTCGGCCTTTTCCGACTCCGTTTCGATGCTAACGAAATTGGATCGACTTCTCCGCTTCCCCCTTTCTTTGGCAATCGAGAGCTTACCTACACCGATGCCGTCGAGCCTCCGCGATCGAATGGCCGATAAAATCGCGAAGCGCAACAGGCTATCTCCCGTTGAAACCGGGACCGAGGCAGCGGCGATAATTAATATTCGGAAAGTAATTAAACCGGCACGCTCGCGTTCTCGTTCGACGGCGATTGGACCGTGGCCGGAACGGTCGCGTCGAAGCGGCGGCCCGTGTCTTTCGGATCCTCTGCCAGCGACCGTGTCCACCGAAATGATCACGGTTAGTGCGCCACGATCGCTAATTCGCCGCATTCTCCTCGCTCGTTTCCGTTTCCGAACATCGTCTCGACGACGAAGCGCCGAGTCCGCGTATCGTCGCGCGCGATCCAAGCAACGAGGAGAAGAATACGAGGCAAAGTAGCGGCGCGTTGCGTTACCGTGTCGTAGGAGACGGGACACACGTGGATGCTCGAGGACGAGTGGTATCGCGACGTCGTTTGCGCAGTCTGTTGGCCAACTAGCCGGTTCACTCGGTCGTCGCTGTTGCTCTCTCCATCGTCGCAACGTTGCGGAGCGACACGATCGCACCGTGACATCGTTACATCGACGTACCCTAGGGGGGCATCGGCGGGGGTTGGTTGGATGGCGAGGGTACTGCTTCCGCCTCCATTGGCACCGGTGCTGCTGTCGCCATCGCCGTCACCGTCGCCGTAGAGGTAGCTCCCTAGTTCCCAGCTGCAGCTACCGGAAAAGGGATTGCCGCATTCGAGCGTAGGTGCACAATTTGGAGGGCTGCGTCGTGGGATTGATTTGCATCCTCCGGCTCATTTGCCGGGTCGTGTCCTGCGGGAACTACCTCACCCTACGCTACGCTCTCGTCTCTCCTACCCCCCTCGCTCTCACGCTCGGCTTTTCCATTTTCTTTTCTCTTTGTGGCGGCTTTTCCAGCTTTCCTTTCTTCCCTATAGATCCTTCCAATTTTCTCCACCGTTCTATCTGCCTTCCTTTCCTCTTTTCCATTCTTCTCCGCTCTTTCTTCGCGTTCCCCTTTGCCGTCACAAGACCCGCACAGCCGCTCCTCCCGTCTCGTGCCCGTGCCGTGTTAGACACGGCAAAGCGGAAATCTTTTGTTTCGATTCGATCCGTCGAGTACCTACGCTCCTTTACGTGGCTGCTCGTCCCTCGTGTGTACACCGACTGCACAACGCGATGTACACGCACGGAGAATCTTTTTCCGCAAAAATTATCGCGCGCGCGCGCGCGCGTGGTATTCGCGAGTGACGGGTTATTGCCCGAACCCAAGGACGCCTTATATCCCATCATCTTTCATCGTTCGCGTCGCTGAGATATTTGCTGCTCGACACGACGGGGGAACGACTCTCCGATCTTTCTCGAAAAGAATGGAGACGAAAGCGTTCCTGCGCATTCGAGAAGCTGCTCGAGGATGAACTAATTGAAAGGTCGGAGAAGATTTGTAATGAAGGAGGACTCATTGTTCGGAGCGAAAAGTTGCGATAAAGGAGTACGTTTCGCCCCGTAGAGTACATCGGAAACGAATACTCGTCTTTGAGACTGCTCGTTTCTGGACTTTGCTTCCGAGTCGAAGATTCTGTTCAACGGCTACGAAGCGTTAGTCGTGCTCGGAAGAATCCGGCCGTAATCTCCGTCGCTGTGAAATTTCCCGAAATTTCCATGGTAAAATCAGAGGAAAGCCACGAAACCGGGGGCGGAGGGGTTGCTCGCGGGCCCAAATCGCGAATGAACTTTGTCGTTGGCCGCGCACGCTCCGTTGAAGCCACGCGGAATACCGAATGGAACGGGACGAAACAACGCGGAACGGGATGGAACGGGATGGAACGGGATAGAACGGGATAGAACGGGATAGAACGGGACGCGAACCGGACGGAACGGAACACGGAACGAGATACGGAGAAGAGAAGAGACGAAGGCAGGCGACACGCCGGATAAACCAACAAGCGAGCTCTCGCTGGGGACGGTAAACTAATTTGCAATTTATACCTACGTTGGGGAACGATCCCGTCTCTTTGCTACGTCGTGCTGCCGTCCTGGCGCTCGACTGGCACCTAATATCAAAGAACTCCGTCGTGTACACCATCGTCCGACTCTTTTCTTTCTCAGCGAGAGAATGTCGCTTCTGCCAAGGAAAACGGTTCGTCGACTAGGATAATCGAGGATTCCGAGCGTCGCAGCGCCAAACAAACGACGCGTTTCCTCAACATCCCTTTACTCTCTCTCTCTCTCTCTCTCTCTCTCTCTTAAATCGCGAACGATCGCGTGAATCGAATACGATTCTTCGAATGGACACGATCCGTTCCAAGTCTAGGTTCGTTTGAATAAATCACGCCGACTCGGAGTTTACGAGTAGATGCAAAGTTTCGCGAACGCTCCGAGCGAAACGTCAACTCGGCTTTGAACCTCGTTAATTACTCAAATCGTCTCGCTGCTTCTCGCCTCGTCGCTCGACATCCTTTCCGCTTTATTTTTAAAACGATTCCACTTTCGGTACCACCTTGCGACGATTCGCCATGCCCGAGGAGACGTCGGAAATAAGTATGACATCGACCGTGTTTATCGATATGCCGTCGAAACGTCGCGCGTCCCGAGTTTATAAAATTCCATGCTGATCGTTGTACCGTGACACCGTGAAAATCGAACGGAACGGGAAACGGGGAAACGGGGAAACGGGGAAACGGGAAAACGAGACGGAAACGATACTACTGCTATTTCGTTCGTTCTTCCGAGCATTTGGACTATGGAGCAGCTACCGTGAACCGTGCTCGGGCAAGAGAAGGAAAGAAATTAGAATACGAACGGATGGATAGTTGGGCAGGGGCAAGGAGAACGCTGTAAGGGAAAGAACTGCGCGAAACGAGAGATGTTTCGCGCTCGACCGTTTAAACGAAAATGGAGAAAGGGATAACTAAAGGAAAGAATGCAGAGACGCGGAAGGCACGGTACCCCTCTAACTGTGCCAGGTATGCGTAAAACAACGCACAAGCGAGTCTCCCGATCGAAAGGCGACAGCCCGTGTTCTCTCCTCTCCGCGCAATTTTTAAACCTACGAAACGTGGGATGAATATCAGGCAGTGTATCGAAATATGAGTTACTATGAAACTAGTTACGAGTTTGATAGTCGTTTTCACAGCGACCAACTTCATCACCGACGCGATACGATAACCAGAAATCGAAAACTATCGTAATATAGCTCTGCAACTTCGATTCGCCGAAATAGTTTCAAAGAACCATTATTTTCTATAACGCTTAAAGAGAAGCGAAATCCGATAAGATATTTATTTTTGTTAGAAATTCGATAGCTTTTAAAATAGAACTGACCTAAATACCGATAGTTTTAGAAACGTAACACGGTTACTGGCACGTTTAAGAATATCGTCGTAACACGTTTAGCGCAATTTTGTTAGCGTAATGATCGTCTATATATAGAACATTAAATTACATATTTCCGCAGTCGCGTCAATCGTAAGTGCCGCGCGTAGAAAATTATACTTTGAATAATTCGTGTAGCTTTAATCACCGATCGATAGCCATCGGGGAAAGTGGAAAACAAGTTCGTTGTCCAATGGCAAACGCAAACACGGCAATATTTTTAATCCCGCGAGGCTAAATCAATCGATCGAAATGCAAGAATAACGAAAAAGTTCGAATCCAATATCGTAGCGTTACGCTGGTTCGCCGTTCGTTCCCAAGTTATTGAGTTTCAAAGCGCGATAGTCAATTCGAAGGTACGTGCCATCGGCGCGCAGGATATGCCACTCTAACTGACGAATTTTACTTCTCAACTTTGTAATTCGATAACGCACGGCCGATTCGGCAAATCGGACGATGGCACTCGGTAACGCGTGCTCCAGTCACGTTACGACTTCCTTTTCCATCTCGCATCGCTCTTCTCTACGTGATCCAACGATGTATGGATCGTAGACTTTACGATACAGCCAGATGCCACGTTAAGGTCTCGAGTAATGGCGTCGAATCAACGCAGCGACATCTACGAACGTTTAAGGAATCCCGCTTTGCTACGCCTGTCCGGCGTAAAAATTCACAATTTTTCCAGTACGCCCGGGAAACGGAGCAATTTCAATTAGATCATTACTTAACGGATATTACGGATAAAAATTCACGTTGTACAGCGATTTTATTAATTACCGCGATTAAAAAATTGATCGACTCGTTAAAGTATTACCGAATTCATGAATTCGTGAATTCATCGATCGGAGTGCTAGGTTACCCCGAAATTGTCCACTGCGTGAGCGGTTGTACAATTTTCACGACGGCATTTGATTAATTTCCGTGGCTTCGATCTCCACGAGGATCGAGCACGTTTCCCGTTTACCTACTAGTTGGAAACGTCCTTCGACCGAAATCGAGCGAATACGGAATTACTCGCGCGAGGGTACGACGCGAGCTGTAAGCGTACCATGTCTCGCGCGGATATCGCGGAACGCGAGTTTACCCTGCAACGGGTGTTTCCAAGAAAAACAACGCTCGAGACGCGGAAAAGGCGCGAGTGGGATCAACGACGAGGAGGGGAAAATTGGAAAAACACCTATCTTACGCTCGGCTTCGTGTTCGGCGAATTAATCTTGGGATTTTACTCGACAGGTGGCTGGCTGTAGCGACGGGATCAGCGCGTTGATTCGATCGATCGGTTCTCGCGATCGGCGACCAATTTGGCCCGCGCGCGTGTCTCGAGCGATACGATCGAGCGATCTCGCGACCGAGGTCAGCGACACGTTCGCGAAAACGATTCCTGCCGGGAAGCGGAGTCGACCGGTATATTCGACTGGGAAATTGCGGCCTGTTTCTTAGGTTTCTCGCGAAAACAAGTACCCTCTAGAATCGCGCCCGCGCGATACCCAACGGTCGACCTTATTTCCTTCGTGAAAAGTCGTCGAGTCCGCGCCACTAATTAGAATGCATATTCCGACTAGCCGTAATTGTAGGACGTGCAATGCTGCGCCATAATTTCATTACGTCTTAATTAACACGATGGCACGCGCGCCAAGCTTAAGGATGCACGAAATATCATCGAGGACACGTTACACGCGGCATTAACCGCGTGTAACGCCTACGGTTGCTTGTTTCGCGTTATTTTCTTCCATCGATTCCCCTCGTCTTCTCTATAATCGTTATCCGGACGTCGAAAGTGGTTGCCACGGATATATTAACTGGAAAAAAAAAAATATGAAATAACCCAGCTTGTTACTCAGCGGCGTATTTTCGAGCTTGCGAATAACGTATTAAAGCCGCCGAAACTTTGCACGATTATTATTCCAAAGTTCTCCATATCTTCGCTATGGTAATAAGCTCGCGGGGAAATGGGAAACTCTCTTCTTTAAAACGGTTTCAGTTTTATACTGTTACGACTTTCCATTCCTGAGATATCATCGTTTAAAGCGAAGCATAATGTTTAACGTTTTAATATCGTCTTCCTACTCGCACGACTGAATCTCGTTTCTATCGTTACCCACCTATCCTACGCGTACATCGTCTTACGGGTATGGTCAACGATGAGACACATCGAGTCAACGACGGTATACTTACTATTACGATCACGCGTACGTATTTCCATGTGTGGGAAACAGGTCGCAGGATTTCTATACCTCCCGTACGCCATCGCGCTATTTCTCGCATTTCGAACGCTACCGTTTAAGGTTTAATATCGCCTCTCGAGGATCGAACCGGAACTCTCCACGCCGAACGAATGCACCGACTTCCCTTCCTATTTTCCGAGTATCGACAGAAAGCAAGCGATCCTTGACCAGCGGCGATTCCAAAAATCCTCGAATCTCGTCTACTCTATCGTCCAGAATCCCATCGTTCCCTACCGGAAGAAACTTTGATTCCGCGTTAACTAACTGGACTCGCGCAATTACCGGTCAAACGACAACCCTAACGGATTGGACGGTCTCTGGCGCGACTACCGACGCAGGATGAAAGAGAGAGAGAGAGAGAGAGAGAAAGAGAGAGAGAGAGAGAAAGGACGATTCGAAGGCTAATTCGGGCGAGATATAGCAGGCACAATGGCTTCGGGCAACGAGCAAGGGAACGGAGGGGTAGCAGTCTCGGATGAAACTTTCTTACCGTTCGATCTCGTTCGATCTCGTTCGATTTCGGCTCGACTGGAGGAGAAACGCTGGCGCGTTATTCGCGAAATCGCCAAGACTCGGGCGGAAAGACTGGAGGGAAAAGAGGCGGAAGCTTCGGGACCAGGGCTCCGCGAACGAGTTGGAAAGAGATCTCGCGGGAGTGGAAGATCGTAAGCGCGCGAATGCCATGAGAAGCATCTTTTCCAGGCGAGGAACTCAACACAGGTAAGGGGAAGCTTCCCTGCTCGGATTGCGGTCTACGATATTGCGAGTATAAATAAATAAAGCGCGAGGAGAGCGAAAAGATATCGAGATTCCTAGCTCCAAGGGATTACCGATCCATCCTCTTCTCGTCTTATTTTTAATCTTATTTACCGTCCCGTTCGGACGTTAAGCGTAAACTCGATACGTTATTGGTTGGCATCTTATCGATGTCTTTACGAGTTCTTCTCGTCTGGTTTCCCTTGTCGTAAATAAGAGAGAAAAATCTTTCCGTCCGTCGTCGCGTCCCTTGGTTCCAGTGTTCCCACTCGAATCGGCCCACTCGATCGCTGCAGTCCGTTGTTCCGCTTTGTCGTTGGTTTTGCAGCGGGATTTATTCGCTAGATGACCGCGAATCGATTTATCTCTCTCGTTCCACATCGGAGGGAACGGAAACGCGTGGAGGGGAAGAAAGTGGGTAGGGTCGTCTTGGGAAATCGGTGCATCGAAATGTGAGCGACGTCGTGCGACAGATTTGGACCGCGTGGTGCCGGAACACACGCGGTGTCTCGCTGGCATCGATCGAAAAGAACGAGACGGACCGGCAAGAATCCCTTTGAAAACGATACCGGACGACGACGTTGCACCGCGCGTCCAAGTACCCTTACCTGCACTCGAGGAGCGCGCTCTTGCCCGTGAGGGAGTACGCCGGGACTTTTATGCGAAGCAGCTTCAGACCAGTCGCTGTAACAGAAAGAGGAAACAAATTTTTTATTCTTCCTTTTCCATCCTTCCCTTTTTGTCCCTCTATTTGACCGGACATCGAAGGATCGCGCCCTCTCCCCGTTCGCTGGAAAAGAGAGACCAGAGGCTAGCGGAAAGTCGAAGAAGCGTGAAATCTAGCGCGCGCACCTCCGTGGACCGGCATCTTTGTAGCCCGGTGAGGGCCTCTTTCGACTTAAATCCCCACCAAATGCTTGACCTACTGAGAACGGTACAATGGAAGCATTAAAAAAACGGCACTCCGAACGCCACTCAGCCCCGAATGATATTTCGACGATAAAATCTCGCGGCGACCTTCGAGTCGACCCGCGTTCGACTCGACTCCACAGCAGCCTCCGGTTATTACTTATAGCGCGACGAAGAAAAGCTCGGCAAGTTGCGTCTCGATCGAATGACCAAGAGAGTGGGGCACGGAGGACGCGAGTGGATTGTACTAGATGCTCAAACAATGCTCCGCAAACTCCATTGTACCGTCCTTTGTGGTCGATCTCCTTTCTTTCCTCTCTCCCCTTTTGCCGTGGTCCTCCGTCTCTTAGGGTAGGGAGGTAACTGCAAAAAATTCCAGCAGACGCGACACTTAGAAAGAGACGATAAGCGACGCGTGGCTCGTCGCTGGACTACCACGGGGAAAATGTCGCGATGTTGGGGAACGCGATTGGTGGAAGAGTCGGTTGGTAGCGGGGAATCACCGGGACCACGCACCACACCGAGAGGGAGGGAGCGAAACTCGGTGTGCTTGGTTCAAAGGGGTTTGCGTTTAATTAAGCTCGCGCGATATTTTACGACGGTGACGGTGCCGTACGCGTGGCTATTCCACGGAGGGCCGGCCTTTCTCTGGATCGTAAAATATGCCGTCCGTAATGCATCGTTACGCGAGCGGCGCAGAGACCGGCAGGTGGGTTTCGTTGAATTATTTCTTTCGAGAGACGCAATTTTTCGTACGTCCTAACGTGATTTCGAGGCTAGTTTCAACCGGGGGCTATACGCGCGATTCTCTTTCGTATCGCGGCCTTTTTTTTTCTCACCTAAGCTCAGTTTCTACGCGGCGCCGCTTCCGGGCCAGGGGTTCGGACGTTTCGCGTACGTGGTCGGCTTATAAGTTACCCTTCCGGAAAGAAGCATTCCCCGCGGTTAATCTCTCCTACCGTCGTACCGCTTAATCCACCACTCGCGAACCAAGATACATTGTCCTTCTAATTACCCGGGCTATGATCTTAATGGACTTGGAAATGCCAGGCGCGTCAGTTCCGTGTGCAAATTACCTAAACGTGGAAGGACTCTTTAATCGCGATGGTACGCGTTACGACGCGCTCTCGCTGCGCTGCTGCTGCTGCTGCTGCCGCCTGGTAGAAACGAAAAACCCGACACACGGCCGTGTTTTAAATGCGAATTGCAAATTATCGCGCCGGCACGGTTGCGTAGGGAGTCGCGATTCTGCCTTTGGTCGCGTTTCAAAGGTTATATAACCAACGATCGCGTTCGTTGCTCGTTCGTTGCTCGTTCGTTGCCCGTTCGGGACACGATCAGCCCCGTATCCATTTGCATCACGCAGGTTCTCGCGGAAGACGAGATTTCGCTTGGACCGTGAATACGATTACTCGCGATTGTCGTAGACGAATGGAATCGCGAGCCAAGACGCGAGGATAATGGTTCGAAGCGGAGAAGAAGTTTCGATCAGGCGCAAATTTGATATCCGTGCATGGACGAGCGTAAAATTAATTTTCGAATGAATCGCGACTCGCGTCGAATCGATAACTCGGTGCACGGAATCGGCGATTTGACGTCTCGTTTTCGCTTTGCGGGGACTAGTCCGGAGTGGTTCGTAGCCACGACAATAACGTCGCTTACGGTGTACGTAGCGGAATCGTCCATTGAATTAGAGTGCCCGCGGCGTTTCGAGACAAGCGAGTTCGAGTCTGGACTACTCAGCTTTTGGCCGAACGATCGTGACGCGGGTCACAAGTGCACCCTATCGGCCGCCTCGATTCGCTTTCTCTACGCTCAGGAATTAATTGCACGCCGGTTCGACTTTGAATAGCCACTCCAAGTCGGTTCTCCGCCAAACTCGCTGCCTTCTCTACGCGAGAACGCGAGTCCTGTGCCTCCTGTTCCTCTTTCCTCTTCGTCACGTTCTCCGTTATCAACCGCCCTATCTCGTACCGTACACCACGAATCATCCTTCTCCTTCCCCATCTCCTTCTCCATCTTCCGTTCCTACCTCTGATCTTTGCGGCCGTTCTGGCAAAACGAACCGCCAAAGTCGCTGGTCGTTAACCGGAAGATCGACGCTGAAATTCGTTACGGTCGATTCTCCGTTAATTCCGCGCAAATTAACGTAATGAGGTTTCTTCCGAGCGATGATTCGATATCGTCCAGGATTGCAATTAAAGCGGGTAGAGAATGGCCGCGCGGCGCCGGTATCCTCGATCCCTTCTCGCGTTCCTCTCCAACCAAATCCGTCAGCCGATGAACGCGAAATTAACGAAGGCCCGTTCTCCATCGGCCATTTACGATCCCGTTTCCTAATGTTCCGAACCATACGTCGAGACGCGGGGAAACGCGCGATTCCAGTAACGCACGTGTCTACGTTTTCCATCTCGCGACCACGCGACGCGACGCAACGGGCCAACGACTTTTCGTACGCGTGCGTCACGATTTCCCGTTCGCTGCGCTAAATGCGTACCACCCCTTTCCTTTTTCCTCATTTCTTTTTTTTTTTTTTTTTTTTTAAACGTCGGACCAGAGCGTGTACGTACGCGATGCGACGATGCACGTGTCGCGCATCTACGTGCGGGGTGTTTTGTTCGTTTCTAGTGGGCCGCTAGAGATGCTCCGTTCTCGAATACCGCTTCGCTTCGTCGAAATCGTGAAAGCCAATTTATCCGTGATTCAAAGCAAGCAAGATTAATTGGCGCGGTAACGAGTGAGCGATACTCATTGAGTTGCGTTTTTCGTCCGGAAATGCGTCGAGCTCTTTACCGATTTACGTCCTCGCGCGACAATATCGCCGGTACGAGGGAGAAATTTGCGGCCGAGGGAAAAATGGTAAAACGTCGCAAGCGCGATAAAAAGATATTTCTCCTTTAGACGGTTTCTACACGGCTTTCGAATGCTCGCCGCATAAAGGCTTACCGTTAAAAGCGCTCTATTCGCATAACTAGTTCTCCTCGCTCGGTCAGTTGGTAACAAGAGTGACGATCCACGAGCCTTTTTAACGCGCTCAGCGTGCTATTACGCGAGCAACCGATCACGAGTCTCCGCTCTTAGGCAGACGAACGGGGAAACTTGCTCCGCGAAGAAATCGTAGTTTTTCCTCGGATATCGAACGAGACGATCGCGACTGGAGGAAACGGAAACGACGAGAGTCGCGCGACCGATCGGCCAAACGAAACTGTTGCCCGATAGAGAGAACGTAGACCGGACGGACGTCCGAGGAGTCGTTATCTTATCCTATATAGCGGTTGTCCGGCCAGGTAGGCAGTTAACTCGTATCTGGTCACGCCACCGGCTAAATTCCCCCTTACGTACTTATCGCGAATTAAAGCGCTCCTTCAAAGGAGGCCGGAGACACGGAAAGGTAAAGGCCGTCCTTGTATTATCGCGTTCGGATGAGTTTCACGCGACCGCGCTACCGTCACTCGACATTAACGTTTCCATTATACGATTACGGCTAACCATAGCGCAAACCGCTATTTTCCTCTCGCGGGAAATCGTAACTCTGACCTCGCTTAATTTATTCCCTCTCTTCGTAATCGTCGATAACCTTCGACGATATTCGCGTCGTCTTTTTCTCCGCTAACTTTTCCTCGCTTTCGTACTCCCGACGGCCAACACGGACTAGGTTAACTACCGCGAGTGTGCTTCGGGCATATGGACGATCGTAACAAGGGTAGAAAACAGGGATAAAATGGACTCGTTTGGATGTCGTATAAGATCGAATGGTAACGACCAAGGCATTCGTGCGGAAATCGAACGAATAGCTCCGGGAAAATGATTTCATCCGCGGCGCTTTGTCGGTCTCCGCTCGTCGACTCGAGTACCATAGAGCGACGACTGCGACGAAGACGACGACGACGACGACGACGGGAACTTATTAAAGCGCTGGCGGCATAGCGTGTACGCCCGTGCGGATGCGTGCACGTTAGGTGGAGGAGCGTTGTCGAGAAATAAGTGGCGAACACGGAATGTGTGCCGTAGCCCCGGGCCGGACAATCCAGCTGGCGATATAAAAGCGCGTTCCCCTCGTCTCGTATCTTTGGTTTCGGTGGCTCGTGTTCCCTCCTACCGCGAAGGTAAAGGCTGCTAGTCGTGACGATAAATTTATCCGACGATAAGAGTCCCGATTAAAGAGAGATGGAAAGAGGAATGGTAAAAGGAATGGAAGGAGTAGGAGAAAGAGAAAGAGTAGCTTCCGGGTTATGGCGTGACCGCGTCACCCTGGCGCGCGTGTCCCTCGGCACACGGTCGGTCGCGGAGTAAAATGAACAAGGAGAGGAAGGAAAAGGGAAAGAAAAGAATGGGACGCGAGGTGAACGAAAGGGAGGTATAGCCCGACTAAACCGTAGGTTATACGCGTTCACGGCCCTCGCGCGTAATGCTATCGAGGCACATTTTCCCCTCGAACGCCTGCTGGGCGTCAGAGGGTGCCGGCGACGCGGTCAGGCGCGTAAAAACCGCGTAGAGATCGCACGGCGTTTTCCTTCGCCGTTTTCGAGGAATAAGAACCACCAAGTCAGGCACTTTTGCTCGGGGGGGCAGAGAGGTGTCTGGTTTTTCGCGTGCTTTACGAGTTCATCGATTCGGCTCGGCCTCGCGGCAAAGCTACGCGCGGGAAAAAGGGCAAAGGGGAAAAGAGGAGAGCGCGACGCTCGCGGTTTACCTGCCCCGTTGGCTGACTCAGCTGAAACGCACGCCGGAACGCGGCATTAATATTAATTATCGCGTAGACGGGGCGCGTGTCG